CGGCAGCCGGCCGCGCGCCCTCGCCGACGGCCTCCTGCCGGGGGGGCCGGCCGCGAGGGGCCGACGTCGCTGCCAGGGTCGAGGCGAGCCCGGCCGTGGCCGCGGGGGCCTCTCCCGGGAGGCCCCCCCAGACGCGAAAGCGAGGAAAGGGCACCGCGGGATAGTGAGATCGATCGTGAGATCGATCGAGTCAGATGTTGGTTCCCCCCCCCTCTCCCCCCCCACACAACCTCCTTATCACCCGAAGGGTGGTCGTATAAGTATATATCGGAGGTTGGGGGGTGAGATCGCGGTGAAACGGAGACCCCCCACCGGGAAATCGGTTTCGGTTTCGTGTTCGTGTCGTGCGGGCGAGGCGAAGCTGCGCGTGATCCTCCTGTAGCTAGGCCGAAGTAGGAGCGAAAGTCAGTGCGCCCAGCAGCCAATGGCTGGGACTGGGCCCGCGGTGTCCCGCCGGTGTCCCGTGGTGTCCCGTGGTGTCGCGTCCGCCGGTGGCTGGGACTGGGCCCGCGGTGTCCCGGCGGTGTCCCGAGGTGTCCCGTGGTGTCCCGTTGGGTGAGATCGATCGTGAGATCGATACTGAGATCGATGTGGTGCCCCGAGATGTCCCGTGGTGTGACGTGGTGTCCCGTTGAGTGAGATCGATAGTGAGATCGATAGTGAGATCGTGAGATCGACAGGTGTCCCGCGTGGTGTCCCGTGGTGTCCCGTTGAGTGAGATCGATAGTGAGATCGATACTGAGATCGATGTGGTGCCCCGAGGTGTCCCGTGGTGTCCCGCTGAGTGAGATCGATAGTAAGATCGATGATGAGATCGACAGGTGTCCCGTGGTGCCCCGTGGTGTTCCGTTGAGTGAGATCGATAGTGAGATCGATCGTGAGATCGATAGTGGGATCGATGTGGTGTCCCGCGGAGTCCCGCGGTGTCCCGTTGAGTGAGATCAATAGTGAGATCGGTAGTGAGATCGACAAGTGTCCCGTGGTGTCCCGTGGTGTCCCGTTGAGTGAGATCGATCGTGAGATCGACCGAGTCAGATGTTGGTTCCCCCCCTCTCCCCCCCCACAACCTCCTTATCACCCGAAGGGTGGTCGTATAGGTATATGATCGAGGGTTTGCCCCCCCCCCCCAATGCTAATGCCATCGGGCCCCCCCCCCCCCGCGCGATGCCCCCCCCCCCCCCCATGTGGGCGTGGGCGTGGCGTGGTGGCTCCCCCACCCCCCCCTGTGGATGTGGTGTCGGTGTGGTGTGTTGCTGTAGGTGTGTGCGGGGTGACGCCATGGTCCTCCTCCCCCCTTCCCTCCCCCCCTGTGGGTGCGGTGTGGGTGCGGCGTGTGGCTGGGATTGGCGTCATGTTGATAGCTCCGGTGCTCGACGTCGTCGCCGCCGCCGCTGGTGGTGCCGTCGCGTCGTCGTCGTCGTCGTCGTCGTCGTCGTCGTCGTCGTCGTCGTCGTCGTCGTCGTCGTCGTCGTCGTCGTCGTCGTCGTCGTCGTCGTCGTCGTCGTCGTCGTCGTCGTCGTCGTCGTCGTCGTCGTCGTCATTGCCGTCGTCGTCGTCCTCCTCCTCCTCCTCCTCCTCCTCTTCCTCCTCCTCGTCCTCCTCCTCCTCCTCCTCCTCCTCCTCTTTCTCCCCCCCCCTCCCATCTGGGGGGGGGGGCCGAGGACCCTACGACCCATCCCATCTCGGGGGGTGGGGGCCCGAGGACCCGGAGCCCGCGATCATATATCGGAGGTTGGAGGGGGTGAGATCGCAGTGAAACGGAAACCCCCCACCGGGAAATCGGTTTCGGTTTCGCGTTCGTGTCGTGCGTGCGGGCGAGGCGAAGCTGCGCGTGATCCTCCTGCAGCTAGGCCGGAGCGAAAGTCCGTTCCCCGTCCGCCGGTGGCCAGGAGGTGTCCCAGTTGGGCCGGGCGGTGTCCCGGGTGTGCCGGAGGTCAATAGGATCGAAAATCCGTTTCCAATCCGCCGGTGGCCCGGAGGTGTCCCAGTTGGGCCGGGCGGTGTCCCGGGTGTCCCGGGCGTCCCGGCGCTAACGCATGTCGCTATTCTCAATCTCCCCCAACCTCCTTATCGCCCGCAGGGCGGTCGTATAGGTATATCTATTTAATAAGTGCGGTTGGGGGGAGGCGGGGTTGCGGAAGCACACAGGACAGGGGGCCTCCAGAGGGCCCCATCCTTTTTCCACATGGCCATAGCACTTTGACGTGGATCTGAGGGGGCCTCGACTCCACTCTCCGCGCCTCATCGCGCTCGGCCAGGGACCCGGACGGTCGACCCAAGAATGGTCGGCACAGCGGCGTTCCGGGCTGCGATCTGAGGGAGTCGAGGCCGCTCGATCCTTGCGGGTCTTAGCAAGGTAAAAACAGTCGCCGAGGGTGGTAGCGGGCGGGCAACAGCGACTGCCATGCACTCTCTTCACGGCCATGCCTTTCTCCGCACCCCTGATCTCCCACCCCCGACTTATCTACCGCAAGCGTATATATAAGTGCGGTTGGGGGGAGGCGGGGTTGCGGAAGCACACAGGACAGGGGGCCTCCAGAGGGCCCAATCCATTTTTCACATGGCCATGGCACTTTGACTTGGATCTGAGGGGGCCTCGACTCCACTCTCCGCGCCTCATCGCGCTCGGCCAGGGACCCAGACAGTCGACCCAAGAATGGTCGGCACAGCGGCGTTCCGGGCTGCGATCTGAGGGAGTCGAGGCCGCTCGATCCTTTCCACCCGCCCCACCCTGGCTATTCAGCCGAATTCCTCTCTGCTACGAGAGACAAAGGAGGACGTGGAATGACTGATCCACCTCTGAGTTTCGCCTCTGAACTCTCTGCAAGGATGGCGGCACCGTCTTCGATGTATATCTTGGCTGTCCTGATGGAGCTCCATCGCCCACGCAACATGACACGCTCAAGATTCTTTGACGATAGATATTCGTGCGCGGCCCCGCCCCGACGAAGGCTGCACGGAGTGAGGCGTGCGTGGCGACAGCCCACGCCAGCAGCAGCACGCTTGAAAGCGGCGTGAAAGGCTGGGAGCGCGCCGCTCCAAAGTTTGCCGGCAGGGTCCAGCGACAGTGCACGGTGCACCCAGGCCCCTATGTGGGGATCGTCGACGGCGACGGTCTCCCGGGCGCCTTTCTGGGCAGCCGTTTTGGCCCAGGGGAGACTCGCGACCCCGCGGCCCTGGGGGCCGATCTGGGCCAGGGCCCGGTTCAACCCTAGGATCTCACTTGTTCTCAGGCACAGGTGGAAGCCTCCAAGAATGCAGGCAGCCAGGGCGAGCTCATTGCGCTCGAGCGCCCAGCCGGCCATTGCGGCGGCGACTCGAGCAGGCATCGGAGGCGCTCGGCTCGGCACTTCGAGGCGTGACCACACCGAGAGGAGGCGCCGTGCCCCAGGATACTGGCGGCGCGAGCACAGAAAATGTCACACTCCTGACAAAGTGTCGTTCGCCTGCCCCTTCGAGGCTCCGATGCTCCAGAGATACTCAAGATAACCTTGAAGGCAGAGATCCATTTCGTCCCACGTGACTGGCAAAGAGAGATGCATAGCACTCAAAAGCTCGACAAAGTGCTGGCATGCGCGCTGGTACTTGTTGCGTGTTCTAGTGTTCACACGCGCGTCGGCAAGGCGGCCAAGAGCAGCTCGGGTAGCGCGCCTCTCCTCTGGCGAAGTGCGCCTGCCCATTGGGCAAGCGGGATGGCGCATCCGCAGGGTTCTTTGCCGATGAGGTGAAGGCAAAGACAGCCCGCGATCCGAGCGCCAGCTCAAGGATGGAAAAGGCGCGCACCTTGTTGAGCTGCTGGCTCGAAGACCGGTGCTTGGCAAGAGCACCGATATTCGCCATGCTGTCGAGCAGGTGAAGGAGGACGCGCATCTGTCGTGAGACTGACCGGGCCCGCCAACGCAGGGCCATCAGCGCAGCCTCGCACTCTAACACATTGATGTGCTTGGCTTGGTGTGGTCTTGCCAAACGAGCTGGCGTGCGACCTTCCACTTCCAAATGCCAGCATCGATCTCTTGCCGTGGGAACATCTTGCCACGTCTCTGCATCGGTATCCACTCGAAGGTCGGCGCCCGAGTGGTGACACGTCATCACCAGCGAGGCCACCACCCTCTGGTGCTCCAGGAAGGGCCGGGAGCACCCCTTGCCCCGCTGCTCCAGCTCCGCCAGCAGGACGTCCGCGTGGCAGGCCTGGCCTGAGGGGCAGTGGCAGAGCAGCCGAGCCCCCTCCAGCTCTCCCAGCTGGTCCAGGAGCTTGGGCTGGGAGCGCAGCCAGCCCGCGAACAGCGCCACGGCGTCGCCGGCCGGCCGCCCCGGCACCACGGGGCACGGGTTCCCCCACTTGGAGGGGCCGAGCCCCCAGCGGCGCGAGCCGCGGCCGACGTAGACGGCGCGCGTCTCCTGCCCAGCGCCTGCTGCGGGCACGCGGCCAGCCTCCTCCAGCAGGTGCAGGTTCTCCTCGCACACGGCCTCGCGCCCACACCGCAGCGTCTCCACGTCGCCGGCCCAGAGCTCGCGGCCCATCGACCAGCTCCTCGAGCTCTCGTGGAGGCTCCGCAGGGACGGCACTGCCACCAGCAGCGAGTGGTGCACCGCCCAATGGCTCAGCAACCAGGCCACGACCTCGCACTGGAACGAGTTCCCCACGAGCGACCGCCGCAAGGCCTCGAAGCGCTCGGGGTCGCTCTTGGCGGCGGAGCTGCTCATACAGGGCACGGCGTGGCCCCGCCTGAAGCCCATCAGCACCTCGCGCTCCACTGCCCGCGGCGGCTCCTTCCGCCCATCCGCCCAATGCAGGCAGAAGCAGTCCCGAAACTGGTAGGGCGGGGCTGCGTAGCCCGCTGCCGTCCAGCGCGCCACCTCCTTCGGCGTGCACTGGCGGAGCCCCGCGGGCCGCGGCCGAGGCGAGCTCCGCGGCGCCCAGCGCGCGAAGGTCGGCAGGCGGCCGCCTTCGGCGGCCCCGGGCCAGGAGGCCCCGCGCGGCAGCCACTCCGACACGGGCGGCAGCTCCGTCACCAGCTGCACTCGGCAGACCCGCGGCCGGGCGCCATCCGCCGCCGCCTTCATCTCGGCCGACATCTCGAAGGAGGGCAGCAGGTCCCACGACAGCCAGTACAGCCGCGGGCGGCGGACCCAGCCCAGGTCCGCTGCGTCGAGGGACACCGGCACTCGGCCGAACATCTCGTTCAAGGCCAGGACCTCGTCCTCCGCCATGGGCGCCGCGTTCTCCCCGAGGAAGTCCACCGTGGCCTCGGGCCGCTCGCGCCTCAGCCCCTCGATGAGCCTCCGCATGTGGCCCACCAGCTGTGACCTCGGGTCAGCGCTCCCCTCGCGGGCCACGTTCAACACCGCGACGCCCTGGCAAGGGAACCCCCCGATCACGATCACCTTCGCGACGCGGCCGTGGCCCCGCTGGAGGCGTGCCAGATGCGCGGGATCTGCAGCCGTGACGCCCCCCAGGCGCACGGTGCTGGGGTACGCCCGCCGAGCCACACGCACAGCATCGGCGTCAACCTCGAACGACAGGTGCGCCGCAGGGACCAGGCCCAGGATCTCGAAGGCCCGGCGCGCCCCGTCGACCCCCGAGAAGACGGAGATCAGCGCGACGCCCTCCTCGCAGGCCGGGTTGAGGGCCCGCGGGCCCCTGGCCCCAAGGGCGCGGCCCATGTCCGACAGCCCTTGGGAGTAGAGGATCGCCCCCGCGGCCTCCGAGGCGTCGGACGCCGTCGCGAGGTGGTCGACGGTCAGCCGCATGTCCGCCACGCTAAGCGGCGCGAGCGCGGCCGCGATCAGCAGGTCCTCGGCGACGCCCAGGGTGATGGGCCCGACCGAACGGCCCGACGCCAGCCACTTCCAAGCGTTCACGAAGGCGGCGGCGGGCGGCCTCCGGTAGCACTGCACGCGAACTCAGCGCCCCAGCAAGATCTGCGCCAGCCGCCTGCTCGGGCGCCTCTTCGCCAGGAACCACAGCGTCAGGCTCGTGAGCTCCGTGACGTAGCCCAGCGGCGGCCGCCGCACGCCAGCCTCGCCATCCACGAGGTCTCCCAACGTGGACACCTGCTGGGCACGGTGGACATCCTTGCCCGGCGATCCGGGAGACTTAGCCTCCTCGTAGCAGGCCGACGCCCGGCTCAGCATCTCGGGGATGGTCCCCTTCAGCTTGACGGCCTCCTCACTCGACACGATCTCCGCGATCTCGAGGTTGTCGATGTAGATGAACCACATCGCGACGCCTCTTGCCTGGGCCTCCGCGGGCAGGCGGCGGGCGCGCACCACCTCGGCCGCAGGCGGCAGCCCGCGGGGGACCAGGGCCGACCGCCTCAGCATGTTGCGGCGGAGGTGCGTCGTAACCCCGACCGCGCTGATCCAGCCCATGCCGATGACCCCCAGTGCGATGCTGGTCAGCCCGTCACCGCTGCCGCCCACCAGCCGCCGCGGCACCGGCGGCCCCGGCGCCATGTAGGGCCACCAGGCGGGGGGCGCCCTGAATACGTAGAAGAACGCCTTGCGGCCCGCCCCGCTCCAGAGCAGCTGTCCCCCTGGAGCCAGCGCACCAGCCCGCCGTTCAGCTGCCCCATCGTCGGCATGACGGGGGTGTCCCCCGCGATGGTGCGCTGGCACGCGTTCGCGGGGATCAGGTTGACGATGAGCCGAAGGACGGGCCGCTCCTCGCCATCGCCGCAGCGGACTGGCGCGTCGTGCACCTTCGCCACGCCGAAGGCCCCGTTGATCAAGGGGACCCCGTTTCTGGTCGCGATCTCGCCCTCGTCGATCGGGCCGACCATCCCGCGAGCAAACAGGACACTCACCACCTGCTCCCACTCCTGCGCCGTCGCCCAGGCGCGCGTCGAGGTCGGCGCGGGGCGCCTCTGAGCCGGCGGTAGGAGGACCAGGGGGGGGTCCAGCAGCGCCGCCCGCACGAAGCCCGCGGCGAGATCCGCGGCCTCGATGGGGGCGGCTACCCACACAGGCGGCAGGCCGCCCTCGATCTGCTCGAGCGTGATCTTGCTCGGCGTAGAGACCTCCGACCCGTCGTGCGCGATGGCCCGGTCCTTCAGTTTCTCGGACCAGTCGAGGGCCCCGGCCAGGGCGGGCTCGGGCGCGACGCTCGAGTAGACGCGCCGCGCAATCCCGAGGAGGGCCGAGCGCTGGGCCGCATTCGGCTCCGGCCCGCAGACGTCGGCCCAACTCAGGTGGCGGTAGCCAGCCTCCCAGTTCATAGCCATCACGATCACCCTCAAGCGAGACTGCAGCGAGGCCAGGTCGCCTGGGTCAATCTTCTCCTCCACGGTGAAGTCCGCAGCTTCAAGATCGGGACAGGGTAGCGGTAGCAGATCACGCTGCAGCCGCCCCCGTCTAGTTGGCCGATGCCCGCTGTGCATAAACTTGTCCACGTAGACCCCAAGCGACCCTGGGAACTCTCGCATCAGCTCCTCGAGGATCGGGCCCGCGTCCAGCGGGCGGCGGAAGGACTCGGCAGCAGCCCCAGCCTTCTCCTGCCACCTGCGGAAGAGCTCCGCCAGGGGGGCGCCCGCGTCCGGCCAAGCTGCCTCCGCGCGCGCCGCCTCCTGGCCTGCTGCTAGCGAGTCAGTTGGCGGCTCTGGCTCGCCCATGCAGTCAGCACGAGCCCCAGCTGGGCCCAGAAGAGGGTCCGCATCCTCACGTGCATCATCGGCTGAGCGCGCCCGAGCCTCCAGTGCTAGCGGCCCTTGCCGCGACCCTTCCAGGGCGCCGGCCGACCGCGGCCAGGCAGTCCTCCTCTCGGCGCCCGACGCCCGCGGCGCTTGCCCCTGCCCTTCGGGCTGCCGCCCCGCCCCTGGGGAGCCCCCCCGCCGACCTGCGCTGCCGGCTGGCCCTGACGAAAGGCGCGGACTTCGGGGGCGCCCAGCAGCGAGGGGGGCCGCCCCCCGGCGTCGGAGGGCGCTCGGGCGGGGGACCTCGAGGCCTCGCGAGCGGCTGCGGGACCCTCCGGCCCGCTGGCAGCCTGGCCCGCGGCCGCCGCGGCTCCGCCAGGGCGGGCGCCGCCACGCCTCGTCGCGAAGAAGGCCCGACCGCGGCGAGCGGGGTCGCTCCCGCGCCCGCGGCTCCGTTTGGAGAGGGCGCTCGAGGCGGCCCCGCGGCCGCCGCCTCCTCGGGTCAGCGGAGGGGGCTGCCCCCCAGCCGCCGCCGCAGCATCGCTGACCTCCGCGCCAACTCCTGCTCGTCGCGGGAGGCGAGCGTCGGGCGGATGCCCTCGACCACCTCCAGCTCGAGTTGGCGATGTACCAGTTGCCGTCGTTCAGCGCCATCTCCAGCGCCTTGAACCGCTGCATCAGCGTGTCCCCGACCGACGCCAGCGAGCCGTCCTCGAGAAGGTCCATCGCTGCGGCCAGCGTCTGGAGCTCGCGCACCGTCCGCACCCCGACCGAGTGGATCGGGGCCGAACACCACGGCCTGGAGGTAGCCCCTGATGCGAGGGCGCACCCTCTGTCCGTCTGCCCCCTCCCGCAGGCCCATGACACGCGCGATCTGGGCAATCGCTTCGTCGTACAGCGTGCCTGGGCGCCCGTCGGCCACTGCCTGCATGGCGTTGCCGCGGGAGCGGGCGTCGCGAAAATCCAGCTGGTCGCCGCCGGCCCGCTCCTCGCTATCGCTTCGCGACTGCTCGCGGCGGCGTCGGCGAGCCACCAGCGGGCGAGCTGCAGGGCCGGCCGCCTCCGCAGTAGCCGCAGCCGCCGCGAACCCAGCCGCAGCCCCCGCGAGGCGGCCCCGCGCGGGCGCTGCGGCGGCGCCGCCCCCTGGCCCACCGCCGCCTGGCGGTCGGAAGGTCGGCCGAACCCACGGCTCGACCAAGCTCCGAGCCGACCGCAGGCGCAGCCAGTCGGCGTGCCGTTCGCCGCGCCCGACCAGCCGCGGGGCCCTGCAGGCAGCGGCGCCGCCCGCACACAGGTGCAGGACCCCTGGCTGCCTGGCGCCTGGGGCGGGGAAACTCAGGTCCAGCTCCAGGGCGCGGGCCGGCAGCGAGGCGCCCGGGAAGTTCACGGAGAGATAGACCCCGTCGGGGCCCGGCACGCCCGCCTCCAGGAGCGCCGCGCCGTCCACCTGGCCCGTCGGGTCGTGCGTGGGCGTCTCCAGCACCGCGCCGGCCGTGAAGGCGCCGTGCTGCAGGGCCGGCGAGCCCACCCAGGGGCCGCCCACCAGCCGCGCCAGCGCCACGGCGCCCCCGCCGGCGGGCGCCGGCCCCGCAGCGGCCGCCACGCCGCCACCTCCAGCGCCAGCAGCAGCCGCCCCTGGCAGCGCGAGGGGCCCAGCAGGCGCCGGCGGCGCGCCAGGCGGCGGCCCCCCTCCTGGAGCAGGCAGCGCAGCCAAGGCCCCCACAAGGGCCGCGCCGACCCCAGCCACGGCGCCGGGTGGCGCCCCAGGTGCATCGCCTCCAGGCGCGGCGGCAGGCGGGCCCGGCAGCGCTCCAGCCGCGATCCCCAGCGGGGGGGCACCAGGCAGCAGCGCAGCGCCTCCGCCGCCAGGGGGAGCGGCCGCGCCGAGGGGGGGGGGCGCGGCAGGCCCCGCGCCGGGGCCACCTCCCGCGGCTCCCGCGCCCCCTTGGGCGTGGCCACGCCCGCGGCCCGCCGCCGCTGCGCCTCGGCCTCCGCCGCGGCCGCGCCCGCGGGCGCGTCCCCCGCCGCGCGCGACGCCGAGGCCCCGAGTTGCCGCCTTGGCCTTGCCCTTCGCCTTGGCCTTAGCTTTGGGCGGCATCCCGGACGACCGTCGTCCGCCAGCCCGGCCAGCGCCGCCAGGAGCACCGTCAAGAGGCGCGCCTGAAGCAGCACCGCTCGCCCGCCCGGCGTCAGCCGGGCCCGCCAGGCGCGCTGCCGCGCCAGCGCCAAGAGGTAGCACAGCTCGTACACCTCCCACAGCTGGCCGTTCAGGGCCAGCGCCAGCGACTCGTTGGGGCCAAGCCGGCCCGAGCACCACCCGCAGTATCGCCCAGGAGTCCGCGGGGGCCAGCCGGGCGGCGGCCCGGGAGGTGAGGCGACCGCCTCCTGGATGGGCTCCCAGGCTGGCGGCGGCGGCCCAGAGCCAGGATCAGACATGCCCCGCAGGGCCGAAAGCCTCAAGAGACTGAGCCACAACAGCGACTGCCATGCAATCTCTTCACGGCCATGCCTTTCTCCGCACCCCTGATCTCCCACCCCCGACTTATCTACCGCAAGCGTTTATATTCCTTCTACCTATCAAACTACAAGGAAAAACCCGACATGTCACCGACACCCCCCCCCACATGGACCCCACATGAACCCCACAGGCCCCCAAGAGAGCCCCACAATGCTTCGAGGCGGCCCAAAATACGCCGAAAAGAGCGACACGAGGCCTACATCGGGAGCCCAAGACAGCAGAAGGCACCTCCGAGACGTCCTCTGCAAGGCCCAAGAGGCCCCAAGACGGCCCCAGAGTGTTCCAACAGGACTAAACATGGGCTCAAGACGGCCCAGGATGCCCCCGCAAAGACCTCCAATACGGCCTCAGCAGGCCAAGAACTTTAATTTTCCATTGGTTTTTGAACGACTCTGCGCTTCTCGCTTTTTCTGGCCAGGAACGGCCCAAGAATGGTCTGCGAGCTTCCGCGGTCGCCCCGAGATGGCCCCCAGGCGGCCCAATGGGGCCCCAAGATGGGCCAATAAAGCGCCAAGAAAGCCAGTGAGCGCCCAAAAGACCCCTAACAGACCTCCAAGAGGGCCCCAACAGAGCCACGGGATGCTTCAGAGAGGGCCCGGGAGAGCCCCAACGCGGCCCCAGGACGGCCCAAGCCCCCCCCCAGACAGCCCACGAGGGCCCCAGGACAGCCCAAGAAGGCCCTCCGATGGTATACAAAAGCGCCAACAAGAGCTCCACGCAGTCTTAGAGCCGTCAAATTCATTACACTCTGATTGGCCCGAGCCGTCGTCCTTGGCTCGGCTGGCCCGCGCGCCGAATGGGCCCGCGTGGCAGAGAAGGAGAAGGAGCGGGAGGCGGGACGGAGGAGAAAAAGGAGGAGGAAGGAACGGTGAGGATTGCGAGAAACAGGAGGGGCCCCAGGAAGACGGAAGGAGGGCACGGAGGAGCAGGAGGAGGGGAGGGTAAACGGCGGAAACAGAACACAGTTTTCACTGGGCCCCGTGCTCTCGCCGAGGCGCCGGCCACATCTCTCATTCAATATCGTGTTGCCGCTTCGCTTGCGGGACTCCCAGCCTCTACCAGGTCAGCATCCCGTCCTCCAGCATGCGGCCGCCGACTTTCCTTTCAATTCTTGACGCTTCGCGTATCCCCACCAGCTGTGTTCGCAAATTCGCTCCGCGCCGCATCCCGGACGCTGCGTCCGCTCCCTGACCTTTGCCTTGGAGCCGCGAACCAAAAAAAAATATCCCCACCAGCCCGTCCAGAATTGATTGCCAGCTTTCCCGAGGCCTGTTGGAGGCTATCCTGAGCCATGCTCGGCTAGAGGCTGTTGGAAGCTATTCTGAGCCATGCTCGGCTATGTCGGGCCATATTCAGGCTGTCTTGAGGCCTCTTGGAGATCTGTCGGAGGCTATCTTGAGCCATGCTTGGCTATCTTGGGCCATTTTGGACTATCTTGGGCTATCTAGGGCTCTCTTGGAGCCATCTTGGGCCAAAAAGGGCGGGGTGGAGAATCTTCAGGAGAGGCTGGGAGGCCTCTCGGGGCCGTCTTGGGCCCCATTGTTCAAAAAGAGCGGGGGTCCTCAATTCAGGTCCCCCCCATCGGAGGCTCTCAAACGGCGTCTTGGGGACGTGTTGGAGCGCTCTCTGGAAGCCTCTTGGGCGATCTTGGGGCCGTCTTGGGCCTTCTTGGGCCCCTCTTGGGGCTCTCTTGGGCCATATTGGGGCCGTCTTGATGCCTCAGGGGCCCATCGGAAGCGAAAAGACGAGAATGCCAAACACATGGACTTCCCTGAGATTTTTGAAGGGTTTGGGCTTCTTGGAGGGCGCCGTGGAGGGCTCGAAGGGCACTTGGATCCGTCTTGAAGACTCTTGGAGGTGTGTCGGAGGCTATCTTGACCCATCTTGAGGTATCTTGGGCCATCTTGGAGGCCATCTTGCGACTTGGAGCGCCTCTTGGAGCCATCTTGAGCCGTCTTGGACGCTCTAGCGCCTCCATCCCCCCCCCCATCCAGGTCCAGGGGAAGGTTACCCCTCCCCCGAGCAGGGGAAGGAAGGGGAAGAGAGAAGACCAGACTCGTTATACCACCGTAGCCCTAAAGGGCTGGTGGGACTTTCACCTATAGACTTCCAGCCTCCATCAGCTCAGCACTCCTACCTCTAGCGTCCGGCATGCGACTTTCCACCTTCACCTCCACTCAAGCGTCCAGCAACGCTGCGCCCTGAGCCCCGCCCCGGGCGCTACCGCGCACTCGCCTCGCCTCGCCTCCGCTCGCACAATTCCCACACACCTCATTGAACAATAGTGTTTTCGCCCGCGCCCAGAAACATCGTAGGTGCAAGGATCAAGATTAGAAGGCGAAGCGCAGCGA